ATTAACATAATAAGTAATGCAAAAAACCTTACGAATCCTGACTATTTACACAGTACTAACTTCTCTCTAGCATTGAAGCTCAGAGGTTTAAAAGACTACTTCAAAAACATTAGAATGCACATATTTCTCTCGAAATATATTACATATTTGGACATATTTTATAAGCTGATGAAACAGTATAGTACTTTCTTCACAATAATAACAACAAAATACAGTATTTTAAAAGTTTCATACAAAGTAAGAACTCTTGCAGCATCAAAAACTTCATGTACTACTCACAAATATGAGACTGGTAAACTCATTAAACAAGTATGTTCGGAACTATTAATTTAGGCAGCGTTGCCTTATATAGTCATTAAGTCCAGCAAACAGATGATACAGAGCAAGAGGAATTGTTGCCAGTTACTTTAGACTGGAAAGTATGAGAACAAAATCTAATGCTAGTTGCCAACTAATTTCTCTTCTCTTCTAACAAAAATATTGAAGAAAAGCTTTCCTTGGCTGCAGCCACTTGCTCTCTAGTAAGAGGACAGAATTTGGTTATTGTGATAATAAGCATTATTTTACATTTTTCTACAGAAGTTAGAAAAATAAACACCAAGAAGACACACTGCAGTGGGGAGAAAAGTCTGCTTGGAAAAAACTAAACATGCCTCTACAACTGTCAAAATTATGGAATAACTTGATCCAACGATACATTTTTTGAACAATCTACCCTTAAGTTTGCTTGGACCTTGACCACTAGCTTAGTTTTTGAATGAAAGGAGGGTGAAAAATACTTTTAATATTTTTGTAACTGAATACTTTTGGGGAGGGGTTGACTTTTTAATTTTCATACTCCAGTCTACTTCCCATCCTTTTTTGTGCCATTAAGTCAACCAGACCCCTAGTAAAGTGGCATGGGGGTAGGAGTAAAGACAAAATTACTCTGGACAAAGTCGTTCCCAAAGTGACATGTTCAGAAAGCTACTGACCACAAATGAGAGGTGTTTCACTGGATATATTGTCAGTTTACTACCTCAGGTCCAAGTTGTCTAAGTTAAGCACTTAGCAAATGCACAGCACTTAGTGTGGATAAGGGACAGAAAGGACTGGGCACAGGTACCGGAGCTAAAAGCTGACTGGAGAGGTGTCTGGGAGTACCAGAAATGAAAGGTTCAGACAAATGCTACCAGAGCACAATGCTGAGAGTGGGAAATAGAGGAAGTGCCAGGACCTGCTTACAGCATGCCTGCTGCTGATCTCTCCCTCCCTATCCCCTGCCAGCTTTCCCACCTCTCCCCTAGAAAGCAACAAAGAAGCAGTAGCTGCAGGAGGTACCCCAGGAAAGCAGTCCAGACATACTGCATCAGGCCATGGCTCTGGCACCGAGTGTGTCAGAATGGCTTCTGCAGAAGAACTGTACGCTGGTTTCTTCCGCAGTGAATACAAAACCAAACAGAGAGACAACACGAACCACATCTACAACATCAGGAAAGGTCATTCCCATAGAAAAAAAATGTAAAGCCTGTGTCCACACAGCAAAACTCTTCTCCCTGTTCCTCTAAAACAGAGTGTTTGCATTTAACTTGTTTATTGGATGGTCCCTGTAATGAGCTGGGCACTGTACTGAGTCTGGAAATTGTTTGGGAGAGCGCTAAATAGCAAAATAATATCAGAGAGTACGCTAACAATTACACAGTGCAGACTACCATAAGGCAGTGTTCAACCCTTGTCATGGCCCTGCTTAGTTTGTTAGTATAAACAAGAACTTTAACAGATGCCCTACACTCATACTGCTCAGCCAGAGGGTAAAAAATGAGACGAAACTTAAGCAGACATCCCCCAATGTTTAGACTCGCTTCAAAGAAATCTGTGGAAATCCAAATTTGGTTCATCCCAGTGTACTTCCCCAACCCTTTCCAAACAAGAGCAATGATGTTTCATCAGTTTTGCACGAACTATTTCACTTTTACAAAAAAAACTCACTAAATTATCCACAAAATACTTCCAAATTCTTGCATGTTTTACTAAGATTTAAGTCTACATCCCCTCTACCCAAGCACACACGGTTTCTCTAGACAGATGAAACAAGCCACATAAATGATGCAAGTGACACCGTAAGTTTTTCCTAGGCCATACCTAAACACCCATACAAATCTATCTTTTCAACAAGTTAGCTAAAATTTATCACAGGACATTTGTTCAAAAGAACTGTGTTACAAGAATGTGATTTCATTCAATAAAATAACAATATACCTTCTAAAGCTGTTGAAGTAAAGAATTCACTCCCACCCTCCAAACCTTGAAAACTAGATCAACTTTTTAGAGTTGTAGACTGCTGAGGAAACCAAGATAATCATCTGAGGCTGTTTCAAAGTGCCTAAACCCATATACTTGTAATTTATGACCTAGCATAGTCTGAAACTGTTAAATCTTGACAACACAAGTTTTGCTGTTTACTTAGAACATATCCAAGAAACAAAAGCTTCCAATGGAAAATATATTTCCAAGTAAGAGATGGAAACAATTAATTTCTTTAAAGAAATCTGTGTAGCATAAGAATTTCCATGATGTTCACATTTTCTATGAAGATTTTACTGATACTTATTAAAAGCAGTATCAAACTTCAAATCGCTGAAACTGCCTTACACACACATATACAACATCAAAGAATTATCCGCCAACAAGTGTGCGATGTGTATTATGTTCTTCTTTATATTTTTCTAAAATAAGGTTGTTGTATGGAGTTTGCAACATCTGTGAACATTTCTTGATGCATCTGTAGATTAAAACAGAAATTTGCTGGAAGTAGTAAAACCTAGACTAGAATTACTGTCATATTTTATAAGATTTAATTCAATTAAACTGTAGAGTATCTGTTATTCATTTTCAGACACCGAAAATTACATTTGCTATCTATCCTCTATTCTTCTACCAATGCTGCACCATACAGCTTTGACTGTATGTTACCAACAGACATAACTGGTGCTTACCAATCTTAACTGCAAGATTCAGACTACAGCTTTTGAAGTGAAACAATCACTCCAAGGTGCAACAATCCACTATATATAGTGCCTTATGATAGCGCAAACTTCAATGACATACATCTATCATTTTAATGTAGAGGAAAGTGTTGAACTGAAATTGTATGACTACACCACCCAGCTTTCAAAAACCATATTAACCATATCAGTTTCAAACTTTGCACTTACTGTATTTTAAAAAGATTTAAGTTTAGCATGAAAAGGCAAGACAGCCATATAAAACACAGCTTCTCATAAAAGTAACTATCAGGTAATTTGTGATAGGCCACAATTCAGAAAAGTTTGTGGCCTCAGAAAACTTTCCTTAACTCATTTTCTTCGAATTACTCACATGCAAAGTTTTCTTCCTCTTCAGTGAGCTAAGCTTCATTCTCTTTATTTCTCTTAATTCAAGTGAATTTAAATATGCCTGGAATGACTACAATGTTACTGAATCTTGCAAGAATGCACATCATTTTGGTGCCAGACTCCATGATACAAATTGATATTGGCTAAACCAAAAAATCCCCAGCCACTTTCGTTGTTGTTTGGGTATTAAAGAACAGGGAACCCTAGGAAAGATTTCTGAAGTATATCACAGTTTCATTTAGATAAAGAAATCAGTTACTTCTACAAAAAAGGTGGCAAAACAGAGCAGAATCCTATACAAATGCTATAATAGCTTGAAAGTAATTTCAGTTTGTACATAATTATATTATTTAAAATTAAAACCTTTTTTAATTACTAAGAAGTATTTTGACTCTTATTAAGTCATGGTCAACCTTCTAGGTAATGCCAGTTAGAATGCCCAGGATCTCACCTTCTACAAGACTCACTAGGTTGGATACAACCTCAAGAGCCTGTCTGTGTGAATGGTTCTGGAAGAGCTATACTTACGTCAATCCTAATGGATGCAGGTCCAATCTGTTCTTAAGAGACATCAGTGACAGAGATTCACAGTGTCTCCAGGCAGCCTACTGCAGCACTTCACTACCATTCAGGCCTTCCCTCATCCCCCTTGTCCAGCCTGAATCTTCCTTGCTGCCATTATTTGTTATCCTATCTGCCATGGATATGCAGAATAGATTGCGTGTTTTTTTTCTGTAAGAGCCTCTCACATTTTTGAAGAACATGTTCTCCTCAGTCTTCTCTAAACTAAACAATTTGCATTCTTTTGGTCTGTCCTTGAGAGTCAAGTTTGTTCTCACCTTCCTACTTTGGACACTCTCCAACTGGTCAGTATCTTTGTTGAAGTGCTGTACCTAAAACTCCTCTTGTTTACGCATGCCAGTCTAGCTATATCATTTTCATACCAGCAAGACCTTGTTGGCTTACCTTTGTTTCACTATTACTCCTGCCCAAATGTGCACTTTGGCGTAGCACATATTCCAATCGAATTACGTGACACCCTCTCCCCCTCCAACTTCTGCTACTGTCATGATCATTTTGAATTCCAATTCCATCTCACTCTGTGCTTCATCCATTCTCATACTTGGGTCATTGGTAATTGTAATGGAAATTGCCCACCTGCTATCTAGGAAAAAAACTTCAATCATTGTAGTCAATAATCTCAATACACCCATTCTGATTTTAATTTGTGCTAACACCAGCATGGTTTTCAAAACAACTTTGCACAGATCTTGTGGAATTTTAACTTAGACCATGCTCACCTGCAGACTATCATGAGAAACAGCAACAAAAGCTTTTTTACAAACAACCTAGATGGTATCTATTGCTCTTCCCTTATCCAAAAGACTTGTAAGAAAAATTTGACAGCTTTGACAAAACACACTTCATAATTCCAAGGTAATTATTATTCATCTTGGTTTCTTCTAATATTCATAAAATTTGTCCACTGTTTTTCTGGGAAAGTTCAACCAAATGGTAGCAATTTCCCAAATTCTTTCCTTTTGCTGCTTCATTCTTGCTCCATCGTTTTCTGACTACTGTCATCAACACTCTAAAAGGAGTAGAAACAGAGATAAAAGTACTTACAGGTTTCCTAAGGAAAAAAAGGGATAGTGCTCCAATTAGGGGCATGTCTCCAATTAGTGGTTCCAGGATAACCCTCATAGTGCCATGGATCTGTGGAAGGGAAGGAAAAACGGGCAATGGAATTGACTTTAGTTCAGGTTTTAAATAAAATTTATTCACTGGCAATGCTCACACTTCTAATTCATTAAATTCTTGATTATGGAAGAATTTTACATATATAGCTTTACATGTCATCCAAACCCAAAAAATTTAACACAGGCACTAAATAGTTGGACTTACAAATTCATTACATTCATCAACATGATGCTATATCATGAAAATGGTAATTTTGCTAAAAATATGAAGTACATTATTTATACAGCTCAATGTAAACAAATGTGGCACAAAACAGTATATAGGTAAATGCTTATAGGTATGTCAAGACAGACAGGCACACACACACACACAGAGCATACTATTTTTCCTCATTAGAGAGAGAGATCTCATCAGAAAGTTGAGGAAACTTGAGAAACAGTATCGCAAGGCTACTACTAATAATTGCATCTAAACTAATAATTGCATTTAACACTGAAATATTAAATAAAACAAAATTTTAAGCTCCATGTTCCCTTTATGAACCTACACATCACATGAGCATTGGCCTGATGTGAAATTATCTCCATCTTTTCCAGTAGAAAATGTTATATATTTAAAACAGTTCTACAACTGAAAGGAATTTACCCTTTCAGCTAAGTCATGTTTCTGAAATTATTATGCAATATCAATATTATGCAACTGAGAAAAAAAATAGTAAGCAATAAAACTACACAATTACTGGTTCTTTCTTATAAACAATTTCATCAGTAAATAACGATTCAGTGATGACTTGATACCAAAATCAAAAGAAAAAAAATTAATTTCACCTGTATACTTTTCACACCAGCTCTGCAGAAGTATCTCTTGATCTCCAAATCAATCTCACAGTTTCCAACAAAACTAAAACAAAAAGAAAGTATACATTTCATTTTTATGGACTAAACTACAATACACTGTTAGTTCTGTTTTGCACTGTCATGACAATATATTTTGTATCTCAGTCTATACACAAAAAAAGCATGTTAAAACATTACAACATATAACAAAGTCAAGACTGTTAAAAAAATTACAACCCCTTCAAAACATCATGACTGTCACCAAAATCACTCAAATTAATACAGAGGTATGTTATCATCTCCAGAAGCATACATAAGAGAAAACAAGCAAGTAGCCTTACTTTTGGGACATAACGGACACAGAATTCATACTCCAATTCAGGAAAGCTCTACATAGGTCTCATTGATAGTACATGTACCCAAATCCACTCTCATCTAATATAATCATGAGAAGCACTAGACAAGAGACTGTTATTTTGCTAAAAATCAAAGTTGTCTGAAATATTCAGAGACTTGCAAAAACAGTCATATTTAGAAATTTAATAAGCTGGGCATGCTGAGCTGGATGATCCACTAAACAAGGTTTAAGCCAAAAACAGTTGAGCCCTTTCTGAAGGGAGAAAAGAGACAGGAAGCAAATTAGAAAATAATATATTAAAAATGGTGTCAGTTTTTCCCTGAGCAGTTCTTGCATCCTATTTTTGGGGATGCAAGGTCAAGGGCTTGAAATTTTGCAGGTGCTGCCCTGTATCTCAGAGACAGATTTGTAGAAGACAGTAAAAAAAGCCCCATCTATTTTGCCCACACTACAAGGCCAAAAGATTATTTGCACACAACTTAAGACTCAGATTTTAGCAGCTGCTTTTCCTAAAGCTCAATGCAGGTCAAGCATGTACCAGCAGAGTTGAGCAGATCTTTTCCAAGAACTGCTGCTGCTGTGAGCCACATTGGGTCTGAAAACAAATTAATTCTGAGACTCAACAAGGAATTTAGGAAGAAAGCTTGAGACTCTGATTTAGCAAGGGAATTGGTCAATGATTCTACAGAATGAGAGCTAAAACCAAAAACCAACAGACTGAATACCAAGCTATAGCTAGGGAGAGATTGGCTGGACAAGGAGACTGGCTAAGAAGATATGGATTATAATGAAAGGACAAGTGAAATCTGAAGAGCTTTCTGAACAGACTGCCCAGTTAAAGAAAATGGAAAAAGGAACTAAGTGGGGAGGAGATAAGGCAGCTTAAACAAAGCCAGACACTGCTGGGATGGGGAAAAATCTGTTTCCTCTACAGGGCATCCTGTTCCAGATTCTGCAGTAGAGCCCAGCCTTCATCACATTAGGTTCCTCAGACCTAGCCTGTACAGTGAAAAACTGTTCAGCTGTGTTTGAGTCTGATGGAATCTTCTTACAGAAACATCTGGGAAATTATGAAGAAAATGGAGTTGCTCTCCTCATGGGGCCATTTTAGGATCAAGTCAAGATAAAATACGTTACTCTCACAGTAAGAGCAGAACAGCAGGACCCCTGCCCCCTCCCCCCAACAACCGATGGCCACAAGGTACTATCAAAAGAAAATGAAGGTGAGAGTTGCTGCATTCAGGATATCCATTATTCAAATCATCTGTAGCCTCCTGTGCTCTGTGTGTGATGGTGCTGTCTATGGGATTTCAAGCAAATGCAAATCTTATCAATCCCTTAAACAAATAAACAATAGTACCAAGACATTCTTGTAAACATCCAACATTGGAATTTATTTTGAACTATTCAAAAGGTAACACTATGCAAAATGATTTTGGTATAATGACCAGTTTGGGGAACTGGAAGACAACAACATGACAGGGGTCTATGTGAAAGGAAGGTGACCATTGCTTTCCCTGGAAAGAATGTAGTGTGACTGTACAGTTTAAAAATAGGTACATAATTTTTAATACACAATTTAAAACTATGTAATTTCTATTTTTACCTATAGAGAGATAGTGTGTGTGTATATATATAAAAATACACACACACACAATTGCATAACAACATGACACAGAGAAGCAACGTCAATTAAAACCTGCAACTGAAACCTCAACCTTGGCACTTTGTAGCATCAGAACTATTTGTGTTATGAAGACTGGGATGCAGTATGCTTGTTTGAAAATCCATAATAACACGATGACAAACTGAAGTAAAAATAGTAACAAACTGCATTTGAGGGTAATAAGTCAACAACTTTTAACCTTATAATAAAGTTAAACATGGTTTTATCCCCTAAGATATTTGGCTGGGTCCATTAACAGTCGATGCTGTACGGAATTCCACTGTAACATAACACACAACTTGAAGGCTCATTTAGTAAGTAAATTCTATACATTCAGATCATAATATCCCAGAAATATTTATGACCCCTGTAATGTACAGATCACTGAGACAGATTACAGTTTAATGAGGACGGTCTTGTAAGAATATAACAGCAGCTGTACTGAATCAGATGAGAAGCACAGTATCCTATATGTGGTCATTGTAGCCCACAGAAGATACCCAGAAGGAAAACAAACAAACAAAGAATAGGACAAACGTATTTCCCAGATTACAATGATCTCCAATTCTGTACTTTGGACTACCTTCATTATTTTTTAGAAAGTCTTTACAAGGTCTTTTGACCCCATTTTGACATGTCTTCTGCCAGCACAATGGTAGCGAGTTTCTCCATTCAAGTATACCACATGAAAAAAAAATATTTTCATGTGTTTAAATCTGCAGCCTAAAACTTTCTTTTAGTGCCTTTATTTTTTGTGTCATGAAACAGTGAAAAAAACTCAGTTGTATGCCGTTAACAAATATTTCCTCAATCTCTCCATCTTTTTTGGCTTTCTTTACGACAGTTCATATTTAATTTGACAGAGTTTATCTTGTTTTCTGTTGATCCATAACCTTTAATTTTCCCCAAGTGTTTACTACATCCATGCACTTTAGCAAATGTAAGATTTCTATTTATTAAAAATTTATTTAGACTTTATCTTCATTCGCTTAAGTAGTTAAAATTTTTCCCTCACACATCTTTGTCACCAGAAACTAGACTTTTAAATTGTAACATGAGTTTTGACAATTTTTTTAACAGAAAGCTCACAGTAAGTAAGAGAAAGGTAAAGTGTTCCCTTTGCAAACGTGGTCCTGAAATTGAATCTTCAAATACATTTTCCAATTACTGCTTTGTGGATTAGCTAGTCGAGCTGCTTACAAGAGTAAAGTTCTTAATTGGATCCTGAGCAATGCATAGGACCTGTTTCAAAAACACTCTGAAGCAATGATCATAATGCACCCGATATCCTTGCAGAAACAATAAAAACTAAATGAAGACACACTCCTTTTGCAATTAAACTTAAAAGCAAAAACCAAATAAAACCTCAAGGAAGATGCAAAAAATACTAAAGAAGTGATTTGGAGACACACTGAAACTACTTAAAAGTACTATATGGAAGGTCCAAAGCAAATACATACACCCCGTCACAAACAACTGACAGTAGAAAGGGCTAAAGGAAGCCACAATGGTGAAACTGCAGGATAAAAGGAGATTATTAAGAGAATGAATGTACTAAAAAAAAAAAAATATTAAAAATATAAATAAAATCAAATCTTTCCTTCCCTCCCCCCTGCCACATCCCCCCACAGGGCTTGGCTTCATACAGCTATTCTTACGAATGCTTAGAGAGATTGTTTTCCTTCTCAACTGTATTTAGGGAATGAAGGGTTTATAGAAAGCTCCTAACTTTAAAGTTAAAAATAAATTAAAATTGGAAGAAACTAATTTAACTGGAGATTAAAATCTACAGTGATAAATACTCTGAAAGACAGACTTTTCTCCAGCAGTATGGCTGTTCTTTATAATCTTGCAAAACCGGAACTGAAGTTGATTCCCTAAGAAATACTTTAGGGTTGGTATCTGTACATAACTTTGTATCTAAACATGCCAAGAACATTTATTACAGAGACTCTTATTCTTCCCCCCTGTTACTACTGAAAACAATCCCAGTGATGGACCCTTAGAGAACATACAAAAAAAAAATAAAATAAAAAAAAAAATCTAACAGTAACAATTGATACTGGGGTGCCATCTGTCTTAAACTTGCATAAGCAAAAGCCTTTGAAAAAGAGCCCTTTCCCAATGAGCAGGTGTCAAGGACAAGTCTTCAGTATGACACAGGACTTCCTTTGATGGTGGTTTTGTCTAAGCCTTAATTGCTAGAAGCTATGATAGTCACTCCACAGCTCTCCTGTTTCCATTTTCTTCCTGGAAACCTATGCCACTGGCAGTAGGGACAGGCTGTTGGGGTAAATGGGCACCTAGCTGACTCAGCACTATTATTGTTATTTAAACCACTTCAAGGAATTTATTTCAGCCTTTTAGATAGGATTCTACTCCAGCTGTTATCACTTCTCTAAGTAGGTTGCAATGTAATGCAATGAGACATATGGGTAAAGATTTCCTTCAGGTCTAGGTAATAGGATATTATTTCTGAAATTTTTGTACAAACCTATTGTCCTTTTTACGTTTATCTGTCCCAACCTACCTCATGAAGATGAGCAGGAGGAAAAAAAAAAAAAAAAAGAAAAAAAAAAGAAACACTAGATTTACCCTCTCCTCCTGTAGGAATAATTCTGCTTTAAAGGGAAGAAGTGGTCTTGGGAGACTTGGTCCCTCAAATGCCTCAAAAAAAGCTTCTCAAAAAAATTTCTTTGCACAGTGTCCACAGTGGTCAGGTAAGTCTGTTTTCCTGAGGGCTTAAGTCTGAAGAGGTGAGGCTGTTCTCACAGCTGCTATCAAAAGTGGCAACAAAGAGAAAACTGAAGGAAATTTCTCCATTAGGGCTAACAGCATCCATCCAGTGAAACAAGCTCTCAAGACAATCCTGCTGTATTTTGTCCAGCAACACCAATCCCTGATTTGGATAGCTGTCTTTTTCCTACAGAAATGAAGTGATTCAATTCAATAAAGATTGGGCCCTGCTCACAGACGTAGTCCTCGCCCCGCTCTGAAACCCAGGAGAGGATGCAGCAGCATCTTCTCTTATCACTCTGGGGCCCAGCTTTGACAAAGCATCAGAGTCTTCAACATAGCTGAGATTCAGATAAATAATTCAAAATTAAGAATAACCAAGATCAAACTTTGGAAGTGACTCTGAAAAAGAAAAGCCAAGAGGCCCGATTACCCTTCTGGTTACTGCCAGGGAAGCAGCAAGAAACCCAGAAGGCTGCTCTTCGCTGGATCGTCAGTGACTGACAAATCTGGCCTTTCCACAAGCTACAAACAGGCAAAAGTAGTCACTGTAACACATATCTATGATGGTCAAATATAAAACCATTGCTGGGTTCACTGACTGAACTTTCAAAAAACTCTATAACTGCAGATTGTGTTGAGAAAGACTTTGGCAAATGTTGGATAGATCTATTTATAAACCTGTATAAAAGGGGTCATGATGAAAGGGCAAAGAAACCTGAAGCAGCGGAGCACAGTCGCTCTGGCATTATATAATACATAGATTTACTTCAGTTAGTGGTATGAGCACAAGTACTTCGATAGCTATCATTCTCTTTTTCTAATACTGTGTTTATAAAAAATCTAAGTAACTGAGAAAAGCAAAAAAACCCAAACTTCTTATATCCTAAATTTTAGACAAGACTAAACTTCATGGAAAAGTTTTAATACATTAGAAAAAAAAGTCAAAGATAGCGCTTTAGCTTTGGAAAGTATTTTTTTATTAACCAACATTACTTTAATGATGCAGTCACACTGACTTGATATACTATTTCCCTCAGATAAATGCTATTTACAGCATACAGTTCCTTCCTCCATTCATACACAATTAGAACTAACTACATTTGCATAATGAAGCAATTCTTCTCCTTTCAGGCCAACATAACTGCCAAATCAAACAAAGCACATATTGTAAAGCATGGGCACCATCGTAATATGATAATAACGTTTACCTGATTTGAAGATCCAAAATGATCTGCCTTTTGTCCACATTTTCAGTGTACACTTTTACACCATTTATCCGCAGAGGCTGAAACAATGAAGGAAGTAAAAGTTGGATCCTTCTGCTGAACTATACCATATTAAACTCTTAACTTCGAAATAAAGGTGAATATATGCACATTCATGCCTGAAGTTAAGAATTTACTGTAAACATTAGTAAAAGGTGTGAAGCAAAGCTATCAATTTAGCTCAAAATTTCAAGGGTAAAAATTACCTTACTAGGATCCACTCAACCACAACCCTTCTGGCAATTACCCTGGGTTTAGACCACTAGATTTCAAGATTTACCAGAGATTTAATATCAAGCTTTCCCTCCCCCCTCAACAAACGTCTTATTTCTCTGTACTAGTACATGTCTAACACTCCCAGAAAAAGCATTCTTTTCTGTGCAACTAATACAACAAGCTAAATTTAATTCACAAAAATATAGTTGCCGTAAGTGGAATTTAGTTGGAATGGATGGAAAATAATCCATAATCCCCACAAAAAGTTGTGTCAGCTACTCTGTGCTCTCTCTCTCTCTCAACCCTGTGCTCACGCTTTCCCTCCCTCTTTCTCATACAGAAACAACACATATCAAACACTCCCAAGACTCAAATGTTCATCAAATACTAGGTGGGAGAGGATGACCTTACTTAACACCACCTCCTGTCACATTTTGAGGTTTTCCTTTGTGGAAAAATTGCCGTATTTCTATTTACACCTGTTTAGTAATCTAAATAAAATGGAAAGCTCACTGCTGTCAGATTCCCACTGTTTGGGCCTGTGCAGCTCACACGATGCAACTCAATCAAGGCTGCAATACAAAGTAAGAATAGCTGTTTCTCATGTCCGAGATAACAGTCCAGCTGCAGAAGCATACAGAGGTGTGAAAGCTAATTTAAACCCTACTTAAAATTAGTATGGCTTAAAAGGAATGCTATTCTACAGTCTGTAATACAGGTGTATCTAGGGCAGGACAGAGCCTCTGTGTAAAAGGATTTACAACTTTAAAAAAAAAAAAAACACCAAAAAAACCCACCACACAAAAGGTGCAGTAAAGTATAATGAACTGTAATATACATGAAATAGAGTCACAAAGAGAGAAAAATAATTCCCCTCTATCACACCTGAAACTTAACTTCAGTTTTCCTAACATTCAGAGGAGAAGGGGGGGAGATTTTTAAATCCTTACTTAAAATCCCATTTATGACAAGCAAGAGGAACACAAAAGACAGCTTCACAAAAAAGCTGTTAAGCTACATCTCAACAGAAGTAAAGTTCTGGTTGATGCAGTAAGAGTAACTAGTGCCGAACTTATCGCAAGCAGAGGTAACTTATTCTTAGCTTGGACTGGTCAAACAGGCTCTTTTGCAGGCATGTAAGAGCTATGTATTATGAACCCTTCTTTCATGGGACCAAACAGAAAGTAAACACCTATCTGCTCCTTGATACTATGTTACGTGCAGTCCTTTGGAAAGCTGAGCCAGCAGCCTTGTCATTGGACTCCGTATATAACATGATTAAAAGTTCATCTTTTACAAGAAAGGTAATTGCACTTGGATCATCTGACAAGAAAAGGGTAACGGTCCCTGCTCACGTAATGTAAAGCATTACATGAAGAGTATTAAAATCATGTTGCTATGAGCTCTTTACATGACTAGGAGTTACTATACTTTGAGTCTTCCCCAATTCTCAGGCAAATTTCTGAAGCAGAGACCCCAGGAAAAAAAAAAAAAAAAAAAAAATGAAGTCTCTGCTAAACAAGCCACACGTTTTTATTTTAATGTAACAACAGAAACCAGAATCAGGCTTACCACCAAGTGTCACCGAGAAATATTTTTGTGTAGATTTAAACACGCTACATGAAGACGGTAAGACAGAGCCTCTTAGAAAAACTTCACCAGACACTGACCTGATGACCGATATCAATCTTTGTAAAACTGAAGGTACTGAGGTGGTTGTTTGCTCCTCTTACTGCTGGCTCTATGGTCTCCCGAAAGAGTTTCTCAATAAACTGGCAAATAAAAGGCCACATCTGTTTTACAGTCTAGGGGGGGGAAAAAAAAAAAAAAAAGAAATCTACATGGAACACAACTTTACACATAACTAAAAAAATATTCTTTAAGGCATATGTAAGAAATTTTGTACAAAGTTTTAGAGGCACAAGTTTTCTATACAGTTCATTACAGACATAAGAACTGGTTCCTTTTTACATACAGGAAAGCTTTCCGGAATTCTCAGTTTGTGTGTTTTATACATTTGCTCAAATCTGAAGCACTGGAGGAGGAGAAAAACAACACTGAGAATTTTCTTCTTTTATCCCATGAATGCATATGCATTCAGCACTGATGCTGAATGGTGGGGAGAAGGGTGAAGAGGGTTAAGTTTATTTGCATATAGAGAGGAATAAGAAAAAATGGGTCAAGTGCATTTCTTAAATACATGCATAAGGTTTATAGATATAAAAAACAGAGTATTTTACTGTCATAGCTGAAAATTCTATATTGTTTATTTTACTATTTTCTAATTAACTCATGTTCTTCTGTGCTCTTTGAATGAAAGATATTTTTAAAAAAACCAAGCTACATAGTTCTATATCTTAGATTATCACACATACAAATCAAAACTGCAAAACTGATTTATTTTTAGATTGTAGGTCAGGAATCTACAGTAACTGGAAAGTATTCCAGACAAGTAGAACATAAAAGACTGTACTTACAGCTGCTATGACTTCCACACAATTATAGCTGTCATTATTTTAATGCCACTTAAAGTCATTCTCCAAAACTCACAATTTCAAGACCATGAAAATAGTTTTAATCTTTCTCATGACTAACTGGATCAACGACCAGAAGCTTCAAGTGTATAAAGAGCACAAAAAGTTAAAACTACTCTGTTCTCAGACTCTTGCCTCACCGTTTTTTTTAATCTCAGATTTCCCTCCTCCCCCTTCCCATTTGGAAGCAATGCTAATGACTACCCTTACCTTGTTGAGCCATTCTGCCCTCTCTGTGTCTGGAAAATGGACCTAAAAAAAACCAAACCACCAAACAAAAAAATTAATACAAATACAAAACACTTTTTAGTTAATCACGTCCATCTATAATACAGGAAAGCTTAGGAATCTCCCTATGAGCAATGTATACAGTGAACAACATATTAAGCAGTTAACATTCTTGAAAGAATATTAGAATAGATAGCTACAAGCATATATTTAATGATGGCATCTAGAATAAAGTATTGCTTTAACATCATAATCAAACTAAGAAAAAAAAATAATAATAAGCATAGCTGACACAGCTAGTGTCAACCAAATTTACCTCTTATGTTTCAGGGGTTTTTAACATGACACACATGACTGCCAGAGTCCTGACTGCACTTCTACTTCCTTTCATTCATGCCAGATCTTTTGCAATATCAGTAAATGATGGCTAGAAATATTTAATCAGTGAAGCTGAAGCTCAGGAATATGGATTTAAGTTTTGCCAAAAGCCCTTCAAAAGACATTTCTAGTGGTTTCTTTCCTTAAACAACTGCAGAAATCGGTAAGAGACAGAAGGATGACGGTATATACGTGGGATGGAAAGTACCCATCACAACAGGAAAACAACAATTAAATGCTGGAAGAACAGACGCGGTTTTCCAGACACAGAAGGAGAGCACGGTTAGTAGCTTTACATCTTAACACACACACACCCCCCCAAAAAAAAAAGAGAAAGAGAGAGAGAGAGAGAGAGAGAGAGAGACAGAAAAACTTGAAGCCGTTCAGGAGAAGCAGAGTTAACAAACATTTCTTTAGAAAAGAACAGCTTCCTACAGCGAGATGCAGATCACACTTCTGAAACACAAAGAGCCTTTGAACACACTAAGAAACTGTGACCTACATATACTGACTTTCATGAAGCTATGTCTCTACTTAACTGAATTGTGAAGTCTTAATCTCTTCATAGCATAACAGATTGCACCACTGGTTTTAACAGCAGTGCCTACTGGTTATTTTTATCATGCATATATCCCAAATGTGAACAGCCAGTTAAATACATACTTTTTAACTGTATTTTCAACAAGTTGGATTTGAAAGCAAGGCCCGTTAATGATTTCTTTGTCTAGTTTTTATTAAGTTCTTGCATTAACAATCAGCATTATCATATTCTTGAATATATTCAGAGCAGTCCTTAATTTCATCTAAGCATCCACGTTTTAGCTATGCTGGAGGATTGGCCCTACAGCGTAATCAATATTGTCAGTTATTTCTCCAGTCTGTTTCTCTCTCAATATTCCCAGGTCCATAACTAAGGTAAGCCATACATTTTTACAGATTCTTAAAGAATTACAAATATTGCTGTCTTCCACTGTCAAAAGAGAGGCTCTTGGCATCTTTTTCAAATTACTTTTTTCAAGTATATCACATATCTATCAAAACCATTACAAGTGGCACAAGAATGACGATGTCTGCTTGACTGTAACAAAAACATTCAATAGGATTTATTTTACTTAGTGAGTTCAAAGAATAGAATTATTAATAATGGATGGAGCAGTTTTAGAACCATATTATTATATTTTATTTATTTAGAATTAATTTCCTAGAGAATTATGGTGGGTAGAATGTCAGAAGTCTGTATTTAGAGGGTTGGATGGGGGTTTTTTTGCTTTCTTAAAAACAAAAATTACTTAATTTTTTTGCATTTGCAACAACACAAGCAGTTACTGTATGTACATGAATTTATAGCTGAACAGAGCTTACACTCAATTTTTGTCTTGGGGGGTTCTCAAGTTGCTTCCAGTGGTCAAAAAGTTAAAGGAACAAAAAGAACGAGCGCTATGTTAAACCTAATGCTAATAAATAACATTTTAATTTTTCTCCTAAAGTATTTGCCTTCTGAATCTGCAGACAGAAAATGTGCCAATTCTCAATAATTACTTATCTCTTAAGCATGATATTGGATCAACATAAATATTTCATTCTGATTTGCTTAGGAGAGTGATCAGTGATGTTCACAAGATGGGAACTCAAGAGCTGTTCCACACAGGGGAGAACATGAACAACCATCATTGGAATGAATAGCAACAAACTAAACTAAAAAGAAACAACAAATTAAACACACAGATGAGGAAAAGAAAATTCATGGAAATACCAAAAGCAAACCTGTCTACTGCGAGTAATGCAAGACATAACAGAGTTACCATGTTCACAATTCACTTTTAGTCTCTTGTACAAGTATCCAGTTGACAGCAACAGGAGAGCCATGATAGACTGAGAAAGACTTCCCATCCTAAACATAATCTCAGCCCAGATGAAATTCATCTTTCTTCATAGAGTGATCCAACTTCCCAGATTTAGGGTATAAACTCCCCAAGACATAGGCTACGTTCCCTGAGCTATGCACACAGCTGACATTCAATACATCTGACTGGAACAAAACAGGTAGCATCTCTCTCTTGCACCCATCCAAGCACCCCTCACATTCAGTCCCAAATTATGCAGAATCACTTGAGATAGGTTGGGAAACAAGCAAGAGGCTACATACACTAATATCTAGCCATATACACTAATTTATTAATTTTGAATTTTATCTACTGTACAGTCTTTATTAAGACCTTGCTTAACAGGACACAGTTCTTAATTTTTCCACAGATACAATAATTACTTGTCCTTTAGTGTGCCACACCTATCATGCTCCTACCGTTATTTGAGTTAGTACTAGGTCAACTCCTTAATTATATAAGCCTAGTTTACTTCTACAGTTGCACATGTTAATAGGCAAAAAATAATACAACGAATTACATCTTCCATTCCTGTTTCTCGCCCCTTTTCCATCCTTGCTTTTCTACTCGCTCCACTTTTAACGTAATTCAGTTGTATTCAGTGTCTATTCTGACATCAAAAACAGAGAGAAGAGAATACAATCTTCCATCTTCAAGACTCTGAAATTTTTAATCCAGCTAAGCTTGAATCAAAAGTTGAGCTTTATTTAATCTTTAGATGCTCCACAACCAGGTAGCCTGAAAACAAGGCATAAACATTTACCAATATACTAATTCCATACATTTTTAGCTTGCTATACGAGACTGCAATATTAATGGCAACGTTATATTTTACTTTAAGAGGTTTTGGTATCAAACACAATCTTAGGCAAAGACAACTGGGGAAAGCCTATGGGATGGAAGTTGGTACTCTGGATCAGTCAGGACTGACACAAGAGTATTGAGGCAACTGCACAAACATTTTATGGCCAGAAACAGAAGCAGGAATCAGACTAACAGATGTGCAAAATCTGTTAACTCCTGTACAAAATCTATTAGACAAGCATGACAGAAGGAGACAGAAGTCAAGGTTTCAGCAAAGACAGCCAAAGACTAAAAGCGTTTTCCACTTGGTTTCCGTTATTAAATTGCTCATGCAGGTTTAGTAAGCACTGTCTCATTTCAACCACTTGGCGTAGTTATTTATTATTTAAAGGAAAGTATAACTAGAGAGAACTGTTGCAAGAAATACCCTAACAACCATGTTCAACACCAAAAACATTATGATACTGCATGTTCCAGGAATGTTCTAATATTAAAAGTTATATTGCAAAATACTTGGAAGTGCTCAAAAGATGCATTTCTGCACATAAAAAAAATATATGATTTAGCTTTCTCACACAACTGCTTGTGCTCAGCTCTAAAGAACTCTCACGTTTACTTCCTATTTCTGATGTGCTCATATCCTGCACTGTCAAAAACTCAATTCAAACACATTATTTTTTGTAATCATCAATAAAATACCAGAAAGAGCCCAAAGAATACAGTTCCTTGTTCTATCCTGGAAGATAATAAAACAGAACAGGGACAAAGGAAAACCACCAACAAGTTCCTATTTCCATAATAACAGCAGAAACATTTATTACCCACAATTATTTTATTATTCAAACTCTCTATATACACTCTTCATGTTGGCTAAATTAACTCAGTTTTCTGCCCAGATGGTCATCTGCATCTTTCTAAGGAAAGAAGGCTAGACAAAGGACAGTAACAATTAAACTCACACCCCACGGACTTAGGATTGGTGGGAAATTTTGAAAAGCCAAACAGTAATCAGCAAATTATATCAAATGAGTTTCAAAGCACAAATAATAATATTGCTGCCTTAAATATAATCCTTTGTTCACATAAGGGAGGTTTCACATATCTACAGAAACGTCACTAAAAGTAAACACTGACAAGAAAAATCAGAAAGAATGAAGTTACAACACCCTTCTGAAAGTAACGGTGAATTGCTCTCAGCACAAGTTACAGCTATTAACAATTTTCTTTAAAATATAAATTGCACAGTAGTTATTATTCACCAATCCTCTCACTGTAAAACACTTCATTTTAAAATTATCTTTGTAGCCTTCTCCATCCTTAAAGCTATTTATCAGTCAACCCTTGTTATATTTAACTTCTATTTAATGATTATGATTAATACAGTACATAGGTCCTAAGTATTATTTATATGAACTGAAACAACAAAAATGGCACCTACACTGAAAGTACAAAACTACTGCTATTGACCAGAGTATTCCATACAGTGAAAACTTTTTTTGCTACAAACCAATCACTTTTTCATGAATTGTGTATTACAGCAAAGTAAGAAAAGGCAGCAATAAAAGCAGTTTAGATTAAAAAAAAAAAAGAAACAAACAACAAAAAAAACCCAAACCAAATAAAACCTCCACACCACTGTGTATTGGCTTTTTTCCCCTTCTATTCCCCCCCCAAGGATTAAAGGTAAGAATTCTGTTTAAGACTCCATCAAAAATAATAGCTACGTTTAACAGATACTTGTCTGAGTCAGCATGACTTAGCTTATGTCTAGTTCCTTCTATTTGCACTGTTTAATTACTTATTGCTCCAGATAAGAATCTGAAACTATACCAGTTAACTTTTTGTTTAATTATAAGGTCACACAATATAACCAAGTTTCTTGATATAGTTACAATGTAATTAAGTATTCTTTAACAGTTTTCCAGTTATTTCACAAATATCTCTTATATTAGATATCGA